TATATATACCTATACCATACCTATACCTATATATAACTATACTATATTATTTTATTATATATATATAGAAACACATATATAATAAAATAATATGGCGAAAATGAAGAGAAAACTTTATATATAGTTTTTTTAGGTCAACGTCAAATTAGTTCTTGTTGGCGAATAAAGTAAAATTAATTTAACATTGTCGTATTTGGTTGAACCGAATGCTAATATTAAAACATTTATCGATTTTCTTCGTTACTATTACTTTTGACTTTCCATTTTTAATCTCGTAGGTTAACACGATAGTGCAATTATTAATGTATCTCTCTCTTTGTATTTTGGTAAATTTAAGCGAAATGTAACCATGAACGCGGTAACCATTATACAACGAAAGGGCAAAGTGATTAAAAAAATTATCAGACAAAAATTTATTCGCGTTGGCCATATTGTAGGAAATGTATCTTAAAATTTTTGAAATTGCTGTTTTAATTGTATCAAAATTTATAATTTTAATTAATTTTTAAGTAATTTATATATAATTAAAATGAACCTTTTTACTTTACAATGAAAATTTAATCCATTTTCATCTGCACATATAATATCACGTACATTAGATCGTGGTTTATAAGTAAAACAATTTATAAATTTTATTATAATTTGAATTTTTATGATTAAAAAATTTGTATTTTATATTTAATTGGCACATGTAAAATTTCTAAATTTTTTTATACACCACGCTCAATAATCGCTTCGCCTTTATTAACAATCCAATTGTGCATTTGTCTTTAATGTAATGTATAGTATGACAATGACGAATAAGTATAGAAATAGCAACATTCGCTAGTTCCTAAGTATTAAAATCTAGTCAATACAATTAGCAAAAATACGCGTATTTATAGAACAGCTGGATAGAAGACCTCCGATATAATTAAATCACGAATTAGATTTAATTATGCAGAATATAACGTATTAAATACCGGGATAAAAATAATGATATTTCATTAACGAGTACGTATTGAGATCGATAGTTTCACAAGACATGGATTTATTTCTAACTCTGCAAAATATTTAAATATGTTTATCTCCAATTTCTGCATTTCACGATATATTCTGTAAGTCAGCATTTATAAGATAAAGCTAACGAGATTAGTATATTATGAGACAAATCCGAAAAAGAAGAAAAATTAATTCGAATGAGGAAGATAGGAAATTAGCGAATTATTATAGTAAGTTCTAGAAATTAGAGCGCAAAGTATACGTTAATACTTGTATGTAAGAAAGAGTAACAATTAAGTAATGTACTTAATTCGACGACGATCGGAGGACTATATATTTATTTGGTACGTAAGAATGAAAGTAGACAACATTTAGTGATACGATCAGTGCGAATGACGAATAATGATGTAATAGTGAAGCACAGTGTTTTTGCTCAAATTGTACTACAGGAGGCTGTCAACCTAATATAAGTATTTCATACATTGTTTTAAATATGTTTTGAATACAGGCTGTTTGACAAATAGAGCAAAATATGTACATAAATGTTATGCAAAATGTCTAAAACCGCGATTTACCCATTGATAGATGCTATATATAAATAGATTCGTGCCTTTTTGTAGCCGTTTTATTATAAATAGCACGCAATCGCTACGTAGAAACCGCTTGATTCCCAGTTAAATTCCCAATCCCTTTTCTTTTAATGTTTCATCTTTATGTCACTGAAGGCGATATTAATTTGTGACTTGAAAATCATGGAAGTAACTTATGTTTTTTTAAAAGATTTATTAAAAGAATATAATTTGTAAGAGAAATATCTATTCATACAATACAAAATATAATGCAGATGAAAAATCTGTGTGGTAATAGTTGTACATAAATGAATATTTTCGATATATAAATGAATATTTTCCCATATATTTTTCTACTTTTGCACTACAATAGAGGTTCAAAATGTAGAGATCCAAAATTAAATGAATATAAAAATATATAATAACAAGGGTACTATTTTTTTCAGACCACAAGATGAATTAGACTGCAAGGAATATTCATCGCCGCAAAACATTATTTTGAAACATTAAAAATCAGCATTATACCATAAATAATATCAGTTCTAGATTCTTAATGATTTCATTGTAAAACGACGTAGCAAACTACGCACATAACTATTACTGCCATTGACGTCATTAATGTCACAGTAAGTAATTATTTTTACATATTATTAGAGCAAATGATATTTCAGATGCAATACCGATATTTTTCAGCGGAATATTATTTCTTTGTAGGAAGCTCAATCCAAATCTTTCTATAAAATTAAATTCATTTCTCGAGGCCTCAGAGGTTCCTCCTGAATATCAAATATTCGTAGACTATTTTTCTTCACTCAAACTCCCAATTATAAAAAGATTTACTAAACACAGTCTATTGTTAATCTGTTTAAATAAGGGACGGAAGAATAGGCTATAATTCTTCGCTCATTAATATCCTGTATTCTTGCTGGTCTTGAACCATTTTCTTGAATACGCGATATTTTCGAAGATGATATCTGAAATTAAAAGATATATGAAATATACGAAAAATTTTTTTTAATATATCTTTTTTAAATAAATATCAAATAATAATATAGAAACAATCACTTAATATTGTTAATAATAATATAATAATGTTTTCTTTAAAATTAATTTGTATTCCATCAGAATTTTATAGAAAAATGCAATATTTGTTTACCTGTTTTCCTATCTTTTGCATTTATTAATCGTTTGCTTACTTGTAACATTCGCTCGTTGGTTTCACTATATTCGCCGATCCCGCCATTCTCTGAATAGTCTCGTGTATAGAATATTTTCTCGTAGCACATGCTCCAAGGATCGCCGCGCCTACCAAAACCGATTCTCGTTCCACGGGGCAAAGTACCGGTAACGCCAACACATCGGCTTGTATTTGGATAAACAGTGGATTTTGACTGAGTCCACCGCAAACTAGTATACTCTCTATATTATGGCCGGCCGCCGATAAAACTTCAATTATATGCTTCGTACCGTACTGAAAATTAATATAATGTTAATTAGAAAATATATTACCTTATTGTGAATAAGATGATTTTATCTAACAAAAATCACTTCAGTGTCTAATTTTTAAGGGGTTACACCACAGTAGAGAGCGAAAATTTAACGTTTTTTTGCGATTTTTTTTTAAGTGGAAGGAAAAGTAAAATGGTAATTCTTTTTAAGGATGTTGTTAAGCATGTTTTGAAGTTTTAAAAAAAATTTTGTTTATTAAAAATTATTACAAAATGGCTGCCCAACAGCCGTTTCTGCGGAACGGTTTTTTTTGGAGGGGCTCCGCGGCACGCAGTAGAAGTGCAGCAAAAATTAATCTGGAACAAAATAAAAAATTTTTTCTTAAATTACATTAGTATAGCTATAGAAATACGTAGGGAATTTTGAAAATATTCATTTTTGTTAAATTGACGAGCATTTGAAAAAAAATTTCATTTTACTACCAAAAAAACGGGCACTTATTTGTACCTAAAAATTTGAAATATTAACTTATCGAAAATCGGCTACGTATTTCTATGCGGAATGTTGTTTTAAAGATGTGATATTAATTTGGAGTGAAAAAATAGAAAATTGTTTGAGTTATGCTGCGTGCCGATTTGAAAAAACGTGTTTCGAGAAAAACGCGTTTAAAGTTTTGACTCGTGTTTCGAACATGATAAAATAAAAAATTTGATTATTAAAAATTGTTTACCTTTAATCTGCTATTCCAGCACCGTAAAGCTGACCTTCCAGGTTGCTAAACTCCTCCTCCTTTTCTTTCCTGGACGCTTTTATGCCAGAGCGAGCCTCTTTTGCTGCGTCCGTCAAAGAGCGCTCCGCGCGTTGTATTCGAGTAGCGTCCGCCTCTAAGCAAAAGTTGTAGGATTGTGGTCCAATGTTCATGTCCATCACTTTCATTATTCTTAAAACGTTTATCAGTCCATCATTAAAATTACAAACAGCAATGTCACTTGCTATTTGTAATATTTTCTTTCCGCTTGAATAATTTTTAGGAGCCAAGTGCCAGACTGTAGAATTGAAACTTTCGTTGCTGTTCTGCGTATAGCCTCCCAAGCAACGATTCAGCAACTCGTCACGGCTCAAATCCTCGTAGATTGGTCTGATGGCTTCAAAAACTTCGTTCGATAGTGCCGGCTTATGATGAAAGGAGTCTAAGGAACCCGTTGCTTGCGCCTTCTTCCATTCGCACCAAGACTTTGAACATTTTTCGTGCTGTGGATTTTCGTCAGTTGACATTTTATGCA